AATATATCATCTTTTGTTGATGATGATGTTAATGCTCGAGCTAAAGACACCATTCCATTTACACCACCAAGTTTAGCATTAAATTTTTGTACAAGATTTTGTAAATACTGAAAGTATAGGTTTAATTAAAAACAATAGTTTTGCTAGCTTATCATCAAGAATTTGTTCTTAGAGAATGACTGACATGACAAGAAATTAATGGGAATTTTGTTTGTACTTAATAATAAACTTTAAAGACAGTCGGTATATAATGTACAGACAATTGATGTAATTGATTGAGAAGACATACTGTATCAGATTAATTAACTCTTATGAATATTAAAATCTTCCAGGGCAAATTTTTTCACCATTCATCAAGTTGCTACTTTTACAATGGATTTTTCAATGTCAAATATAAAATCAGCCTTCTTAACAAGACAAGAATCGAAATTGTTTTCTTTTGTTCATTTTTTTTTTAAATTTCTACTAACGAGATTGCTATCATACAAGAATTTCTTTCTTTTTTGTTTTTTTTATTCTTACCATATCGAGTTTTTTATTTCTAATATTTTTTGCAATAGCAACAAAATCAGTACATCTAAAATGGTGAAAATATTTTTTTTTCAATAATAAAAAAAGAAAATCTTACTGTGTAACAATTCCAAGTTTTTGATTTCCAGAATATTTAATTGATTTATATATATCTTCTCCTACACCATTAAGAATAATTAAAACAACTTCACAATTTTTTTCTTTTAATTCTCTTAAACGATCATGTATAACTTGTGGATTAGCTGGATCACTAAACATTATTGGATTTGTTTGAAAACATATTCCATATTGTTTAATTATCTTTAAAATGAATAGATTTGATTTTTTGAAGATAAATAAAAAAGATTTTTACATAAGGAAATTGATCAATAAATTGTTTTGCAATTGATAATTGATTAGGATTTGGTTTTTGTGATGAAATCAGAACACATGCCCATCGATCAATAGTTCTCGTTTTTTGAAATCGATTTCTCAAATTCCATCTTTATTATAATTAAAAGAAAAAACTTTAGTAGAAATTGTTTTTTTTTTTGTAAATTCATACTTTCCAATATTAATTCTTTCAACAATATCACTTTGTCCATCTCGTCCACTTTTATATTTAATTTCTGGTGGTGGAATAAATCTTGCTGGTACAGTAAGCATTTGTTGATCATCAATACTCATACCAATTTCATTTAAATATTTATCTTGATTAAAATTTCTTATTTGAATTATATCCATTATTGATTGATATCGTTGTGTCGGATTGACAACAGTTTTTTTTGTTACACGTGCACGTTGATCTGTTGTTAAAGGTTTTATTGAACGTTGCCAGGCTTGAATTGTACAACATTCCATTGGTAAATAATGAAATTGTGTTTTATTTGGTGGTGTATATAATTCTAATTATATAATAGTTTTACTCGAAGAAACAAAAAAAAGAAAATTTTATTTTGATTAATCATCTTACCAACGGTTGGTAAATTTGGATATTTTAAAGTAATTTGATATTTTTCTAAGAAATATTCATAAACTGATTGTCGTTCTTGATTATCTTCATTAGTACCATCAACAATACGTGGAAATGTATGTTGTCGTGCTGATGCACCAAAACCACGTATACGATATTTTCTTACACTTTCTGTATGATGAGTTTCAAGCCATATAGGTTTAAGTACTTTTCGTAATAATAATTGTTGTTCACGTTCATCAATACCTTTGTGTTTTTTTTTACGAAAAAAGAAAAGATAAATCAATAAAAAATAAATCCATATTAAATTACCATCTCGAATTATATTATGTTGAAGATATTCACATAGAAAATCAACTAAATTGAATGGTTGATAAAAACATGTAAATGTAGAATTAATATTTAATGTTGCACCAATTTTTGTTAAAAACATTGCTTGATAAAATCCATGAGCTAAACCTCGACCATCACCTTTGAAAAGCAAAAATAAGAAAAATTTCTATAGGAAAGTGCAATCAATCACATTTCTGTTGATCGTAATAAAAACAAAAAAAAAGAAGCAAAATTCTTGTTCTGAAATACACAATGATGAATCTAAATATCATCATATTTTTCTATATTACATAACCTTCAACGAATTATTCTTGTTTAAGAAAATTTCAAAGTCTTCATACATTAAGAACAGTTGATTCTTGTTGTCATTTCGGCAAGAACAAACTCCGATTAACTCGAGTCAATCTTTTTGATCACTCTTAGTAAAATCTTCACTCCGGAACGTTTATAAAAATACTATTTAAACACAATAACAATACAAAACCATATATACACTTTTGATTTTCTACGAAATAATCGTCAAAGGCGGGAGAGATTATAAGATCGTAAATCGGCTTTTAAGACTTTTTCCATTTGATAATATGAAGAGAATGAGAGAAAAATCTAACATCAGAATTATGTTCAACATAAAAAACTGATTCAATCTCTGGCGAGAATCCCAGTCGAGTTTTTTGACAAAAATAAAAGTTATCATACGATTTAGAAACGCATGTAGATCCACTCAACTTGTTTATACTGAACACAATTCTCGTGTTGAATTTTAATTGAATCTTCATTTACTTCAAAAAGAATATTAATAAATTATACAAACAATTTTCAATTAAATATATATTGATTGAAATTCAATATTTAAACAAACCTAAATCATCTAAGTCTTGTCGTCTATCATAAAATTGATTTTTAACACAAACCATTGTTGCACGAGTGGTTTGTTTAAGAAGTGTTTCTAATATTCTTATAGGATCTCTTGGACGAATAGCTATTTTATTTTCAATAAAATCCCAAAGAACCTAAAAAACAAAAACAAAAAATAAAGAAAATTTCTTTTCTTTTCTTTTTCAAATAAAATCAAAACCTGTATATCATATGATTTAACAAGATTAATTATTAATAAACGATATTTTTGTTCTCTATCACTTTTTTTATCTTTTATAATTATTTCATATTGATCTTTTAAATCAACAAGTAATTCAATTGAATAAAGACTTTTTCCTTCATCATACCAAACTAATGGAAAATGTTCACGTTCAATTATTTTTCTTAATATAAGAAAGCGATCATCTTTTTTTGCTGGACGCCATGTATTATCTCGATTAGCTGCTTCTAACTCAATATCATATTGATGACATTTTAATATTTGAGGAATATTACATTTAAAATGATTTGTATATAATCTTAGTTTTTTGACCAGCTTAAGAAAGAAAAACAAACAAGATAGTTTTCGATTTGATTAATCGTATATTTATTGATTTACCTGTTCCACCTTGGTCTGGTCGTTGTGCTATCGATATTATGGATGTATCGGGTACAGCTGAACGAATAGAATTTCTGTGTGAATGTGTAGATTTAGCTCGATTTGTTGAAGAACGAGATGTAGATTTACAATGATCAGTAGAAGGTTTTCGTCCGGATGATGTTGTTGTTGATGATGATGATGGTGGACGATTCATCATACGATTTTCTTTATTTCCTTGATGGAATTTCTCAGGTATTATAGCTATTGATTGAGACCTATAGGGTTCTGGTGGGCCTATATCTATTCGATTAACTCGTCCTAAAGAAATTAATTATTGTAAATATTTTAAATGTTTTATACTTACTACCACGACCTCGACCACGTGATCCTGATGCTGACATTATTTTAATTAAAAAAATAAATTGAATATAATCTAAAAGAAAGTATCAATCGAAGCCTATGTAGTGTAAGGTAATAGATGGGGGAAAATTCCCAATGATTGTTTAACAAAAAAAACTTGAACTTATGTAATTAAGCAATGATCTGGGGAAAAATGCAAAATGACCAGTTAAGATTTATTATGTTTGCTAAGGTGCATAAGCAACAATAAGACAAAAAACCAATAGTATGCAAGGTTCAGATATGTAACATTATAAGAGACGAGCGACATCTAGTTTTGCTTACAGACAACGAAATCCAAAAGTATAAATGAAGCTTAAGAGAAACTTCATGAATTCATTGAGAAAGTTGATTTTATGGTTAAAATTAAGATCTACTCTGGATGTTTTTTTTACATTAATCAATTTCTTATATCAAACTAGAGTCTATGAACTGGAAAAAATGATCATGTCCGTCGGTTTTGTTTGAGCAACATCTTATTTGAAAGAGCACATTAAACTAAACAAAAAACATCACGAATAGGTTTCTCAAAAGCTTGAGTCTTGATATAAAAGAATTAGCTTTTCTGAAAAAATTACACTTGTAGGTTGTTTTTTAATATGATAAATTATCGGAATGTAATCTTAATATAATGTATCTTGTAGCGACATTATTACAGCCTACAAGTGTAGTTCTTCAGAAAAGTTAATTCTTTTATATCAAAACTCAAGTTTTTGAGAAATCTGTTCTCGACGTTTTTGTTCAGTTTAATGTGCTCTTTCAAATGAGATGTTGCTCAAACAAAATCGATGGACATAATCATTTTTTTCAGTTTGCAGGCTCCCTCATGTATCAACACTTGTAACTTTAGTTCAATGTAAGGAATCGATTGATGTTAAAAAAAGAGTAGATTTTCATTTCAATCATAAAATGATCCTGTTGACGAATACTCGACCGACTAGCAAAACGTCTTTTAAGTTTCGGATCGATATGTTTTGTTATTGTGTTAGGAAGAACTACAGAATGAAATTTGACATATGTTGAAAGGTTACATCGAACATATGGTGAGAGAACAACTATTAGTACACCGTGATAGAATGACGATCAAACGATAACCAACTATTAAAATGTTAACATAAAACATTAGTGAATATCAATTAATCGATTCTATTAAATATCCTTTTTTACCTTGTATTAGGTGTATGCAAAACAAGTACATTTTTATGATGTTGTCGCAAATTATTTGTGGTAATTTATTATTAAAAAAGTATCTACTTCAAATAAACTTACGAGAGAATGTTCCCAACTGTACTCTTGAAACTATTGTCATTCAACTGGATATGATGAGTAGGGAAAAACTATATGTTTTGATTTTCTGATCTTCACTAGTTGAATTATAGGCGTTTTATTCGATTTTTATTCTATGAACAAATAATTGCTGAGAACTTGGATGTTCAACTTTCCAGCTAGGATAAAAGTATTCTTATTGAGATATCAGCTCGTGATGAAAATGTTCTTTTTTTTTGAAACATATAGTAAAACCTTCTTAATGTAGACACAAGCTGGACCCAGTCAAAAGTCTTCACTTTATGGAGGTGCTCATTATTGGAAGTAAGTTTTAATATTTGAAACGTCTTTCGTCGATGACAACCGTAAAGTGTTCAGAAAGATACTTCAAATGTGAAGGCATGTCTATGGGCAAAATTTTACCTTGAATTTCGACTATTCAGATCCTTAGCAATCCTCTATTCATAGAAGAAAAAACGAGTAAAACACCTATAATTTGATCAATAAAGACCATACAATAAAATTTCTCAGTGTTCATTATAGTTATACTTTCAAGTATAAAAAGATTTGACAGTTAGGAACGTGCCGTCGTTAGTAAATGCGTGATTAAATAATGATATTTTACCATGCGATTTATCCTTATGACATTATTGACTTAGTTTTATTTTATTACATAGATCAAAATTATATATTGTCAAGAGAAATTAAAATGAAAAAATCATTGAACTGTCAGACAAAACGAGGATAAAATTAATAAAACAAGATCAATCATTTAAATCAAATAAGCAAATACACAGTTGATTCTAGAATTTATTTTAATTGCAATTTTATTATTAATTTTAATATCATAAACAAACAAGATAAAGATATGATCCACTAGTGCTGAAAATTGATCTACACGCAATTCACTTAGAATGTTGGTTATTAGCATTGCGAGGGAATTGCGATAGATAATACCTATTTGTGTTGTCTTTCAGAGAAGCTTTCTCTATAGTTATATATTATTATCTAGAATTTTCAGAAGCAAATCTTATCTTAAAGAGACATGGAACATAGATGATGATCTTGTTAGTTACAAGACAAGACATAAAATAATAATAATATGATGTTATGTATCTTTCTTTCTCTCATCAGAAGAGAATATAAAAACACAGAACGTTACAGATAGTAGTAGTAGTAAGGACAAGAGAATAACTTTCAGATGTCGCGACTCTTTTCTTTTGATTTTATGTTTTTTTTTTATTATTTCTACAGCTTTTTTTTTCGAATTTCATCGATATTTCTATATTTCATTTTTATATCAATTTCAAGGATAAATAATCATTGATGAAGAATATTCTATCATTGAACCTCGTTTTTTTTTCTCTATAAGAACTCCTTGATCTTTTTTTTTCTGGTGCGTTATAACATCAGCACGTGTAATAGACACGTGTTGATTAACTACACAATATCTATGACTAATGGCATTGTTCTTCTACTTACTTTTTTATCATTTCTTATTTCAATGTACACCGAGTAACATGCAGATCGAGGAGTAAAAAAAGTGAAATTTTGTTTTTTGTTTTTTTTTTCTAGATTTTATTTTTTATTTAATTAATAAATAATAAAAATATTATGGCTAATAATCTTACACGTACTTTCTTATATAGTTCACGAAGTATTTGAAGATTTTTATTTGTATAATTTATATTTTGAAAAATTATTTATTTAATATTCTCTAGTCCTACAAAGAAGTTCTATACGTACACTTACTAGTCAGCAAGGAAAAAGTCCAATGGATTATGTTAAACAAGGTGTTGATCAACTTAATCAAGCAGCTGAAAAAGTTAAAGATGTAGTTAGTAATGCAACATCAACTGTTGTTGATGCGGTTAGTGGTCGTGATAATAAGACTAGTAACAGTAATCAATCGGGTACTTATGATAGTAGTCGTCGAGCATCTCAAACATCAAATACTTCTGGAAGCAGCTCTGGCGGTGCAAGTAGTCCAGCATCTCAATCAGCAGGCACTTTTGGAAGCAGCACTGGCGGTGCAAGTAGTCCAGCATCTCAACCAACAAGTACTTCTGGAAATAGCGTTCCTTATACAAGCGATTTACCAAGTGAACCATCAGGTGGATATAATCGAGGTGGTCTATCACCAACTGATCAAATTAGAGATCGAGGAACTGATTATGGTAAACAAGCAGATAAATCTACTACAAATCAAACTGGTAGTAAATCTCGTAAAGGTAAATCGATGTAATGAAAATTTTTTACGATTCTCATTGATTTTTTTTATAGTTTAATGCTGATAGAGTTACTATAAAATCAAATGAAACGTAGTTAGGTAAGTGATTATGTTATTTAATTTATTTATTTGATTCTATTTTTATTTGTAGTATAACTATGATTTTCGTTTCTCTATTTCACAAAAATATGTAATCAAGCAATGATGTTAGATATAACCTTTTCTTAGTCCCCAATATATTTTTTCATATCCTTTTTTTTGATTGTATTTATTTTCGCGAAAAAAAATAAAAGAAAAATTTAATTCTTTACCTTCAATGCCGTAAATCTGATGTGGTTCGACGGAAAAAAAGATTGTGATGAACTGGGAAATGTATACGATGATGTGCTCTATCATTTCATATAGTTTGAGAAAATTTTATATCCGAAAATAGGCGCTAAAAAACTAAACATTTGGTGTTTTGGAAAATTCGTAGTTATCATCAATGAATCAAGTAGAAAGTTTCACTTTAGATTTTGAAATTATCTGTTTAACTGTGTACAAAGACGTCAACTTCGAAATGTCACTTGGAAAATTTTCTAGTTCATTCATTTGAAAGACTATTTATTCTTAGGATTTTATGAAGTTCGAATTCTTCTTCGTAAATAAAAACTTCGGATCTTCTATTATGTTCAAATGTATGAATTTTTTACGATCGTCTTTTATTGTATCTCATTTTTTTTTCATAATTTTTAACTAAAATGATTTTGAAAAAGATTATAAAGGTTTTAAACACTTGATCTCTGTCTTTTAACATTGTCCAGCTCAAAAACTCTGAAAACAAAACATATTTTGATGTAAAATTTTAATTTAACAAGAATTTAATTAATTAAGACGAGTTTTCTATTACGTCTGAGGGATTATTCTTCAAACGGAGGGGGTAGAGATATGTTTAGTGCATTTATCGAAAGATTTTTCTTGCCAGTTAATTTTATTATATGTTTTTGATTAAAAGTAATGAGCTATACTTTTAAAAACAAATCTACTTTTATTAAATGAAATATCATTATATAGTGAAAATCATGTTTTATTTGCGTAAATACATAATGGCTTTGTAAATAAACCGATCAGATTTATTGTCAATTCGGATTGTAAAAATGATTACTAGTTTTTCAACTCATTTTGTTTAAACTATCTAGAATGTTCTACAATATGAATCGTCATTATAGGTAACTTATTAGATATCCAAATTCATCATAAAACAATTTTAAAATAGTTTCGAAATGCAATTAAAAATTATAGTTAGATCACTATTTCATTTTTAATGATTAAAATATTAAGGCTCTCCTCCCTCAAAAATCGATCTCAGCCCGACAACTTTCAAATGATAAGAAATTTTCAGGATATGTTGAGGCTGTAGTAAAGAATCTATGATAAAATTTTCAGCCCGATATCATGATTTTTGAGGGAGACATTCATCAAATAATAGTCAAAAATAGTCCATTTGACAACCCAGATTTCTTTGTTCGGGCTCATTCAATATCTTTAATTTTTTTTTGTTTGAAAGAGTATGTCAGGATGCAGGATACCACATAATCTTTTTCTTAAATTCTTATTTTTTAATCGGAATGAAGAAATCACAAGTTCAATGACTGAAGCTTTCCAATAGAAAAAGAATTTAAATACATAACATGAATTTCGACAAAAGAATTTGAGTTGCACGTTCGACAAATCACAATCTGAGAAAAAAACGAGGTGCTAAGTAAAAATTTTTGTCGCTTATGAGAGATCAGATCACAGACCATCTTTCTCTGCATTCATCTTAATTTCGATCATTCTGACAAAAAGTAACTTTTTTTTTTGAGGGGAGACCTTAATAGTTAAATGCTCTATCTTTCTATGTTATTTGATCATACTTCAACTAATATTATAATAATAAAATTTCGACAAGATCTATTTTTCTATCACGTACTACGATTATACTAATGTCTATTTAGTGAATACTTTTGAAATAACTTTTGATAGAAACAAGGTAGAAAGTTGCGGTAAGATCTACAAAATTCCACAAGGTTCAGATGTTTAGAATTAATCATTCAGAAGTTATAGGTATTCTAGTCGAAGCTTTAAGTGATTTTTCTGGCAATTTTTTGTTTCCTTTTTTTATAAGAAACCATTTTCTCCACGCTTAGAAAATTGATTAAATAAAGATCGGACAATGTACTAGAAAAACATATAATACATGATTCGCTGCTTCTTCATATCGTCTTTCGAACGATGAAAAACGCAGCTCTCTAACAAAAGTTATTCAAAAAAAATATTCACTAAATAGACATTAGTATAATCGTATCATATGATAGAAAAATAGATCTTGTCAAAATTTTATTATTATAATATTAGTTGAAATATGATCAAATAACATAGAAAAATAGAGCATTCTTCTCTCTATCAGACTATATAGAGAAAAAGTTTCTTAAAGCTTTTTATAAGGAATTATAGTATCACTCTCACTACGTTTGGACTGCTCCAAGTAAGTATTCTGTAAGAAGAGGCATAAATGGATGACCACTTTGTATCTTTTATGGGATGATAGATATTGTCACTATGAATGTTTTGACCGTATGGAAAGAAAAAGCCCTACTTGGAATACTAATAGACGACAAGATATAAACGTCGCTTATTCCTTGAGAATTTAGGAATAAGTGTAACCCCTCACTCTTGTTTTATGATTTTCACTCGAGAACCTCGAACTTTTTACATAAGGATATCTAAAATGCATTAGCCGTTGTCGATTATCCTAGGATGGAACAATTGCCACAAGGATTAAGTGAACACTTCACGCAATCAAAATGAAAATAATATTCGATTTGTAATCGTTCCAAAGACAAAAAAAAACTCTGAATAAGTTTTATTAATGTTCAGAATTTATTTGTAATGACCATTCTATCAAACGAATTTTTTTTTTGTATTAACTTGTTCGACATAAAGAAAAGTTAAGATTCTAATAATCTCTTTATAAGAATGAATCGGATTGGTTTAATAATGAAAAATCACATTATGAAAATACATATCATTCAATAATCTCTAAAATAGACTTGATAGTACTTGAGTTAAGAATGATGGAAAAGTTTTCAGTCTTCTCAGAACAAATTGATTCATTCATTCGTTATTGTCAAGTTAGAAACACTGAAATCTTTGATGTCAGATACCTTTTAACTAGATTGAACATAACCCTAGATTTTCATGTCTACAAGCATAATAATAAGACTGTCGGACTAGTCTCTTATAATTATATATAATACAGAAATCTTGTTTTGTGTAGTGCATAATTATTGTTCTTAAAAATGAATACTAAACATTTAAATATGTTTGTAAGAGATTTCTTAACATTCATAACAAATTTATGAATATGCGATAGAAAGTCAAATTAATCATTGTTTTTCTCATATGAGAAAGAACTTCCTTTAGGATGAGTTTATATATTTACCCTAGGATTAAGGTTAGAAATATGAAGATTTAAGATCAACTATTCCCCACAATAGAAGATCCTGTTTGAAGAAACGATCTGCCGGATGTGATAGAAGAAATTTATCACAAAAATGGAACTTCAATTAGTATGTTTATAACAAAATATACTTAGTTTTCAGGGTTTTTCACCTGGAAAATCTCAAAAAAACTGAGCTTAGCATTATTTTTAAACTTTTTTAAATCCTAAAAATTTAATATTCATCTAGTTGAAAGAAATCTGACGTAAAAAATTGAAGTATTTTTCACTTGACAATAAGACAGGACTCACGCGTTTTTGATCATCTTTTAGTTTCTAATATAAAATATAAGACGAGTGTATTTTTCATTTTTTTTCCTACATTACACTAAGCATTCAACTCAAATTAATCTTAGAAAATTGTTAAGAGTAATGTCTTAATGAACAAGCACAAAGGCTTGAATAAAATGAAAGATTGCTGCATTTTCTATGACCTTCTCTTAAAAAGTTATAAATATCACAAAAAAAAAGCATTTTTCATTATTTATAATGCTTATGACTTTTTGAGAGAAGATCATAAGACATGCAAAAACACTCACTTGATTGAGAATATTCTATTCTTAACAATCTTCTGAAATTATTGTCTATTCAAACAATTATTTAGATTTGAGTTAAATGCTTAGCATTATAGAAAAAAAGTTCAAAAATACATTAGTCTTCTATTTTCAAGTAGCACTCTATTTTATTCAATTACAAAAATGTTGTGCCTATGACAAATAAACATAAATGTAAGACAAAACAAGCAGAAAAATTATATACATCATTAAGAAAACAATGCCATCGGCATAAACAACAATAAGATAAGAAAAGTATTGACAAGTTTTAATGCTATGAAGTAGATTGTACTTTACTGACAATTACATAGAATAAGAATTTTACATTTAATGAAAAAAAAAAGAAGTAAGTATGATGCCAAAGAGTATATATAGATATTTAATTTCTTCTTGATCTTTAATAATAAATGAGCATTGCATCATGTTTCTCAATAGAGTTATATTTGAAAGAAAAAAATACATAATTGATATATATCATGTAATATTAAATACATCCGTTTATGTATTATTTTTCTGTTTAAATAGAAGAAGTAAAAACAACTATCATGTATTAATCACATTTGAAATTAAATTTGATTTTTGTCATCAAGTAAATTTTGTTGTTGTTGTTGTTGTTGTTGTTGTTGTTGTAAATTAGTTCGACTTGAAAGTTGAGCATATATTGGTCGTTGTGATTTTCTATTACTTGAATTATGAAATAATTTTGGTGATTGATATTTATCTAATATAATAATTGGTGGTTTCATTTTTCGTTTATATAAATTTCGTTTTTTATAATCAAAACATGGTCGAAATAAATAACGAAATAATAATGAAATTTCACGACGAAAACGAAGATTTGTAAATATATATGCATAAAAATTTACCGAATGACTAACATGACGTAATATATATGTTATTTCAGACCAATTATGTAATGTTTCATCAACATCTTCTAAAATAATCATAAGAAAATAACAAATTAAATATGGTAAATAAAATAAT